ACACAGGCCTTTCAGCTCTTTCATGATTCTTCCTCTGTGATTTGAAACAGCGATTATCCAAGAAACCTTTAGCGGATATATTACAGTTGAAGATTGGCCTATTCCTGTCATCATGAAATACCGTGGACATTGCAAATGACGTCTTTGTCTGAAACTTTTATTGCACATTGGACAACTGTACGGCTTTTCACTGGTATGAGTCCTCATATGGTTTTTTATAATCGATAAATGAGAGAAGTTTCTGTTGCATGTGGGATAGCCATACGGCTTCTCACCGATATGTGTCCACATATGCCTTTTCATGCTTTTTCGTTCAACGTTCTCTTCTGACTGCTAAATTCATTAACCTTGTATACCTTTTAACAGTTTCGTCGACTAATTTTGGTTTGTTGGGTTTAACTCTATCTACCTCTTAGCATTTGTCAGCAAATGCATCTGAAATAAATAACTAAATGGAGAGAAGAAAAGATGAAGCATGGGATGAATTCCTGTTGACAACGAGTATTAAAAAACAACTCCAACTTCTTCAGTAAATGTTACCTACCAGCAAATGCTGCCTAATAATATCATATTAAATAGTATCAAACCAATAGACTAATAATTATTTCATTCAACAAAAATGGTCTTTTTGAACTTTCGGTGTGCTAATTGCTTGTTGTTAATTTGAACCATTCCATGAAATATGGAGAGTTTTTTCTTTTTGTATAGCTGAATTGAATTTTTTTTAATCTAAAATAACCCTTTTCTTTTCCATAAAATTGTGGCCAATTCGCAAATTTTGTGAACCTTTTGAGAATCGTATGAAAATAGAAATCCTAATGAAAAACTTTTCGGGAAGTGGATGTGTTGTGGAATTACGGTTGATAATACGGAAAGGATAAAGTGCAGCTGGAACTATCCGTCGATAGTTCGGACAATAGACAAATGAATGTACTAATGGAAAATGAAATAAAATACCGATAAATGAGTTGATTACAAACAGTAGAGATCGGAATATAGTAACTTATTCCGAATAATTAGTCTCACACAAACTGTAGGTGCATTTACTGAAGACGATAGCGTCGCTTTTTTAGCTCCCGTTGTCAACAAGAATTCATCCCATACTTTATCTTTTCTTCCCTCTATTTAGTTATTTATTCCAGATGCTTTTGCTGATAAATGTCAACATGGCCATTATCACCACCCTATCATTCTGTCACTATCATTCAAGCGGTGCATAACCGTTATGCGACTTTCCATATCCCACTAATGCTCGCTTTTGTGCTAAAAATATTTTTTCCATTTTAATAATCAAGGAATTTTCAAAGTTTTAAAACCTTTCTTTAAGCAACAAATTTGAAAAGTATGTTTAAGAATGGACATACAGTCTGAACGAAGGATTTGATGAAATGTGGCATACGTAAATCGCGTAAAAAAAAAATGAAGCACTAGCAAAAAAATGCGAAAAATGTATTAGTG